TAATGAATATTAGAAAATTTTAGAAGCTCCCCCCCCCACCTTTAATGACAAAAAAAATGCCCTGAAGTCTAAGCTTAACATAAAGATAATGATGATGATGACGATGATGATGATGATATGATGATAATGATCAAAATGATGATCACAACGATCAAAATAATGATCATCATTATGATGATGCTTATGATATCTAAATAAAATATAAAATAAATTATTAAATCAACATGAAGATGATGATGATGTTCACAATGATATTGATAATGATAATGATCATGCTAACAGTAATGATCATGATGGTGATGTTTATGAGATGATGATATACACATTTATATAAATTATAACATGAATAATAAAATAATATCATTATAGGATCTATCAATATAAATGAAGCCCCCCATCATAAACCCGGCACCGCCCTGGTCCGATATTAATCCCGGTCACTTACTATTAGGGTATAGTTGTAAGGTGCCTGAGTATGCTTTTATTTCAATGAAATTTGACTCGTAGTAAGGAAAAAGGTTTTTAAAGGTGAAAGATTTTATAGGAAAAATAAACCAACATACCTTTGATATACACTTGATGATTAAATAACAAGCAAACCTTTAGCTAATTAGGGTACAGTTTTAAGGTGTCTGGGTATGTTTTTTTTCCAATAAAATATGGCACGTAGTAAGAAAAAAGGTTTTTAAAGGTGAAAAAATATATAAAAAACAATCAATTTTTTAGCTAATTGGGGTACTGTTTTAAGGGTCTGGGTATGCTTTTGTTTCAATGAAAATTAGCAGGCAGTAAGAACAAAGGTTTTTAAAGGTGAAAAAATATATAAGAAAAATGAACTAGCTTACCTTTGATATACACACTTGATGAAAAAACAACAAGGAAATGTTGACTTAAGCAGGGTATAGTTTTAAGGTGACTGGGTATGCTTTTTTTTCAATGAAATTTGGCAAATAGCAAGAAGAAAGTTTTTTAATAAAGGAAAAATATATATTTGATAATTGCAACAGTTTTTGTTCCATATATACTTAATGCCCAAACAACAAGCAAATGTTGTCTTAATTGAGGTATAGTTTTAAGGTGTCTGGTAGGTTTTTTTTTCAATAAAATTTGGCAGGTAGAAAGAAAAAGGTTTTTAAAGAAGAACTATTAGCATTTTGCAACCAATAGCATTTTAATAATTTTATCCTGCATAACAATAATAATTATAGATAAAATAATATAAACTTTATACGTTTTTATATTTTTATCCTGCATAACGATAATAATTATAGATAAAACAACAAAAACTTTATAATATATATATATATATATATATATATATATATATATATATATATATATATATATATATATATATATATATATATATATACATGTGACATTTCCACTGAATAAGATTTAAAAAAAAGCAACAAAACTAACATTTTTATATACATATATCTTTGGATGCGTTTAGTTTAAGTTTTAGTTTAGGATAAGTTTATCCTAAAGTTATCCTAAAGTTAGCATAAACTCTCCAGATTTCACGCTAACTTTCACACTGTATTTGTATCACTATGCCAAAACGCTAGCCTAAAAAAGTCAGTTTAAAAATTTTAGCAAAAAAAACTTTCTTTCCCGATATATGAAATTAAAAAAAAAAGTTACAATGACATTCAATATTTTCAAAAAACATTTGCAAATCGGCGCCATCAATTTTATATTGCACATTTTGCCATCTAGTAAGAGTAGCAAAATTTAAGCGTTACTTAAAATTAAAAAAGAAGATAAAACAAGTTTGATTTTTGAATTTTAAGTTTTTGTTGCCAAATGGCAACATTGGGAGAGACGCGGTTAAATTAAATATATACTCTATAAATATCTTCTTTTTTATCATATTTATCATATATTCATAAATTTGAATTAGTTAAAATTTTTAAGAACAATTAAACTATAAACAAAATTAGCAAAAACTATGCAATATTTTAATGTTTCTGTGTCTAAGATCATAGAAAGGCTACAGCAACATATTTGTTCCGGTAAATAGAAAAATGCATTAGCAAAAAAATGACGTTACAGAAAGTAGCCAGACAAAAAAATTGTCTTCTCTTTGCACAATAATATGAAAACAATTACATATTTATTATACAACTTCACAATTAACACAATATTCATTCACTATTAACTTATTCATTCACTATTAACATGTATCCGGCACATGCAAGGTGAGAAATCTTTTTACCTCGTTTATGTTCTGTCAACTTTTCTAGATATAAAAATCGCTCCTAATTTTTATCGTATCTAAGTCGAATATATCTGGAAAAAAATAACACTACACAAAATTATTGTTGTTTTTCTCTCCCAGGCAAAATGTTTTTCATACATATGAACAGGCCCTTTGAACAACGTTATATATTCATTTTGTCCGAGTTTTTGTTTTTTGTTATTATAATTATTAATTTAGATGCAGTTTTTAGAATTAATGTAATAAAATAAATATTTTAAAGTGATTTTAAGAATTTCGAAAGAAAAAAATTATTTCGATACCGTTTTTATGATTTCGATAATATCAAAATATTTCGGAGCAAATTATAGAGATTCGAAAGTGAAATATTGCTTCGATACTATTTTTAAAATTTCGATCGCATAAAAATCTTTCGATGCAAAATATAGGTAATAAAATGTTTCGGTGCCGTTTTTAGAATTTCGAAAATATTAAAATATTTTGATACAACTTATAGAGTTTCGAAAGTGAAAAATTGTTTCGGTAACTTCTCGATAATGTAAATATATTTCGATTCAATTTTCAAAGTTTCAAAAGCGAAAAATAATTTCGGAGCTATTTTTGGAATTTTGAAACTTAAAAAATGTATCGGTAGAATATCTTGAATTTCGTAACGCAAAACTCATTTCGGTTTAAAATTAAGTTATTAGAAATCGTTTCAAACTTACCGAAACAAAAATAGTGTTTCGAAAATTTTTTTTTAAATCGAAAACTCAACTTTTGAAAAAGTGAACAACACTAATTATTTGACATAAGTATTAACATACAAATGCCTGAAAATTGATTCAAACAACAAAAAATCATTTATCTGTCACAGATTGCAATGATATTGTTTTTCCGGTAATAAAAAATATTTTAAAAACTAAATCATTTAACAATCGCAGGATTACACCAGCAGTAACAAACCATATGAAAAAAACAACAATAAAAAATCCTTTTGGTTAATTTAAGTTTAATTGTAAATTTTTTTATATCCTTTTTTATTTTAGAAGAAGACCTTACGGTCTTGTCACAGAGCACCGCGGAAGTGCATTAAACCAGGAAGTTTACGCTTCTTTCCTTACCGTGACGCGAAAATATGTCCAGAGCTCGTTTCGAACCTGGATCTCCTGCTTATTAAGCAAGCGCTCTAACCATTGCGCCACGGCCTCGCATATAAATATATGTAATGTTTTATATTTAATAACAACTTTTTTACTTAAAGGAAGTAAAAGTTCTGTTCCTTATTTTTTTATTTTTTTTAAACTTGTTTATTTTGCCGTACATATATTTACAAGTTCCGTGTTTTATAATATATATATAAAAATGGCAAGGACGAGAAGAAGACAGGTTTGCCTTATCACCAAGTCCCTTGTTTTTTCAAAGTATTTATATAAATACGTTGTAACTAATATTAAAAATTAAAAATGAGAGAAAAAAAACAAAATGTTTCAAAGAAGTTTATATAAAATGCAAAACAGTTTAGTAGAGTCTTTCAAAGTTATTATTAATGTTTAAAAATATTCTAAATTAAAAAGTTCTCAATAAATATAAAGGTTAACTACGGTAATGCAATGGTATATATAAACCCGAGCCCATAATTTTGTTAAACCTATTGTACTAGCCGTTGTAGGTTTAAAACTATTTTTAGGATTAAAATAAATTTTGAGGGTAAAGAAAAAGACAGAATCCTAAAAGTTAGTTAGATTTGAGACAATTCCCTGCATTTACTCCCCAACAGTCGAACGTTGCATGTATTTTTGACTTTGTAGGCGTCCGCGCTACTAAAAGTTTTTGTAAACGTCCGCGTTTACTGAATGTGCAAATAGACATTCCACTTTTCGAAAACCTATTTTTTTTTCAAAACTAATCGAACTTATCGAAGTTCTTTTTTTTTTTCGAAATTTAATTGCCTTTTTAAAACTTTTTTTTTTTCGAAAATAATTTAGCTAATTGAAATGTTTTTTTGTTTTTTTTTCGAAATTTATTTAACTTTTCGAAATTCAATTTAATTTCGAAACTAACTTAGTACATTTTTTGTTTTCGAAATTAAAATGAGTTTTCGAAATTAAATTTAAGTTTTCGAAATTATTTTAGCTATTCGAAAGTTTTCAAAAATTTTTTCGAAAACTTTTGATTGAAAATTAGTATTATAGACTCTGACTTGTTCTAAAAGCTAACTATTATTTTAATTATATTTTTTTACATTATCATATTTTTTTGTAACTGCAATATCTTATACAAATGTTCTGGTGTTGTGAAAATGTCTTATGGCATTTGCAAAAATGTCTTGAAAGTATTTTTCGACAGTTAAGCGTTAAGTTAATTTATATATGTATATATATATATATACATATATATATATATATATATATATATATATATATATATATATATATATATATATATATATATATATATATATATATATATATATATATATATATATTTATATATATACATATATATATATATATATATATATATATATATATATATATATATATATATATATATATATATATACATACATACATATATATATATATATATATATATATATATATATATATATATATATATATATATATATATATATATATATATATATATATATATATATATATATATATATATATATATACATACATATATATATATATATATATATATATATATATATATATATATATATATATATATATATATATATATATATATATATATATATATATATATATATATATATATATCTTCTTCCGAAAATACTGTTTTATTCTTCGTGTATTTACAATTCTAGTTCTGATTTGTTTGAGTTCTAAACTAAATTTTTCTGCAAAAACTTCCATTTCTTTACGGCCTAAAAAAAGAAAACGAATAAAATATTAATTTTAGAAAAAAAATAGCAATAATGGAAATCTCTACAAGTAAATCTAATTTTTTCATGGCCGAATTACAGGCCTTTTTAACATGCAAACAGTTAAAATTTAAAAGATTTTACTGGTCATGCATTAACTTTTCCATAAATATGTTTTCATAAATGACGCTAACACGTTGAAAAGAGCAGGGTAACTTGTTTTTTATGGTTTTGATGTGTACACTTGTACTGGGCGTGAACGGAAAAACGTATTAAAAGAAAATAAAAAAAAGCTTCGTTATAGTATAACTGATGAAATACCTAGATATCCACGATTATTTTCTAGGTGAAAGGCGAATTCTTTGTTAAACGCAACTTTACTTGTCTTATTCCATTGCTTTTTTCAACTGATAAATTTTTTTTTTTTTGATCGCTGTTTCTATCTAAAATAAAAATAGGGAGAACATTTTTCCTTGACATAATAAGCAATAATAATAAGCAGAGAAAGGCAAAAAATCATATGGGCAGTGCCGTGGCAAGTTGGTCTAGGGCCCCTCCTAAAACTAGTATTTTGGGCCTTGATTTTTTATTTATTCTTTCTAAAAAGTGAATAACATTTACAGACTACCCCAAAAAGCATGGTACCTGAAATATTTTGACGTCGCCGTTCATAAGACTAAAAACAATCAAATTAACGCTTAAATTCAATAAAATATATTTTATAATTGTTAAATTGATATAGAGTTTACTAGAAAAGAGTTATTTTAAATACAGTTAATCTATTACGCAAACAATACAAGTACGTCGCAAACTATTAAAAAAAAAGGGTTTGCAACTATTTTCATGCTTGCAAACTCATTTATTATGCCTTCATAACTTAATTTCCTTGCAACCTCGATTTCAATCGACAGCGTTGCTAAAGAAGACAAACGTTCATCGACCATCGACATATAAAAATATATTCAGAAGGATCATCACTGAGAAAAATAGACGGAATTGTTATGTCATTTGATGTAGACTCACATATCAACCTGATGTAGACTCACATATCTGACTCTAGTATTCAAATAATGTCAATCATAATTATTTGTAGTTTCTGTTGGTATCGAAATACTTCCAGGCTAAACTGCTGGTTTCAAAAATTGTGTTAGTTTGGGGTGTTTTGTGATTTTCTCACTGGCTGCAGCTTTTTCTATTCTCTTAGTCGCACTACTTTTCACTTTTTTCATGCCAATATTTATATTGCGAAAAACTAACGAAAGATATATATAAATTTTTGCAAACCTTCTTTCATCGTTTGTTTTTTATGATACAAAAAACTAACAACGCATAATAATAAAAAAAAAATCAATTCGAAAATTGCAAAATAAAGGTAATAAATTTGTAAAACTTGCGTTTTATAATATAATTCGGACCTCGGGAGTGTAAATTCTTTTTTTTTTGCATTAAAAATGTAATTTCTTTTTTTAGTCTTGTACAAATTAGGTTACAAACTATTTAGAATACTTAGAAGCGTTGGAAAAGTGAAAAAGACATCAATATATAAAAATGAGTATGTAGAAGTTCGAAGTACAAATTTATAAATACTTAAGTACATCAAAAATTATTGAAAATTATAATGGCATTTGCAGTTTCAAAACTATCAATTTAGTTATGACAGTTGTTCTGATTATTTACTTTTATAAAAAAATAAAATGCCTTTATTGTTTAAAAGAATTATAATCTTTAAATAGAGCTAAAAAAAAATTAACTCCCTTTGTAAATGAATTGAAAACGTTTAAAAAATACATTTGATAAAGCTTTACTAGTGTTCATTTAATAACGTCACACAATTTTTGACCGTTTTTGACCCCTCCTCCCTTGTCACAATAACGTGACACTTTAGTAACAAGCTCAGTATGAGTCGTCACAAAGCCATTAACCCCTCTCCTAGAGCGTGACGTAATTTATGGACGACCCCAGCGGGTAATGATTTACCTAACCGTGTCAGGCTTACCGAGAACTTACCGAGATTTACCTAACCGTGTCAGTATTGGCTTCAACAAGGCGTCCTCAATTTATAATTTTTTTCTTTAAACATAGTTCAAGGGTTAAATAAAAAAGTACAATATTTTAGTTTCAATGATTCCATCTACCTTACTTAAAAATAGGGAATACCAACTTAATGAATGCATTTTAAAAAGGTAAAAAACAAAATAAAAGCAATAAAACCTTTTTATACCATATCAAATGTACTCAAAATGGCTTTAACATTAACAAAACAAAACATGTAAAGTATAAACATGAATAATAATTTTTTAACCTTTTAAACATGTTAAAACAATGTTATTTTGTAGCTATTTTACAATATTTATCAAGACTAAATTATTTTGTGATTTCAAAGTCAACCTGCTTTGGTTTAAATTTTGATTAAAATTTAAATATAAATTAAAAATACAGGTTACTATCACTTAACTTAAGTTTAGAAAACATATTTAACATGAAACTTTAAAGCTTGAACTAAGTTTGTTGTAGCTTGAGCATCATATTAATTTTTATTTATTATTAGGAAATTAAGAAATTATATAACTCCCAACATTCCTAACCTTCATGGAAAGATCTATTAGAATATCTTTTTTTCCCAGTTTCACTTTCTATAGTTATAGACAAAGTGATAATAATATAAAAAATAATAATTAAAAACCTTACCTTAATGAATACAAAAAAAGTAAACAAACAAAAAATTAGTTAAATCTTTTTATAACTTAAGGATTGGCATAATTTTTAAACCACTATTCAGTTTACTATCATTTTTAGATATTAACTCAACTAATGAGTAAAAAAAAAAAATTAAGTAAAAATCAATTAAACAGTAATCTTATTATATTACATTTAACTTTAAAAAAGCAATCAGCAATACTCACCATCAGCTGGTATTACATGTTTCTCTATAGTGCATATCTCTTGTTCAGCTAAATTAGAAATATTTGACTTGAATGAAGTTAGATCAACCTTGCTCACTTCTTGAATATATCTTAGTCTTTTGCCTGTTTTATTTTTAAGGATCCAGGAGCAGCTTGGTAAATATTTTGATTAATTCTTTCTGAAATCTGCTTCATTTGGGAGATTAATTGGTTTTCGCAAATCAACATTCTTACGATAATTTAGATTATAAAAAGCATCACCAAAAAAATCATCCGCATAAAGCTTTAAAATCTTTAAAAATTCAACTACTCTCTGAGATTTCAAATCATCATTTTTGACCAAAAAGTAACCAATCAAAAATTTTGCTTTTAACTTTAATAAATTAAGTATACTGATTTTTAGGCCACTTTTTTGTGCACTTAATAAAACATAGTCAGAATCTTCATTTGATTTTTCTGATAAAGAAAAAAAAATTTCTGATTTTTCTGATAAAGATTTTTCTGATAAAAAAAGATTTTTCTGATAAAGAAAGAAAACTTAAAAGTTTCTCCAACTATGGTGATTACTTTTTGATAGTACATATTAGCTGTATCATTTAACATATTATCTAATTAACAGCTTTCTGATTGTTATAGGTTCTTTTAAAAGATAAGTATAATCTTGCAGTTAACCGCATTCGTGAACGAACCAATCTCTCAGTCTCTGAAACTTTACCTTTCTTTTTTTTAAGAGCGCTATAAGATCTAGAACCAATCATTAAAATGATTTTGTTAGTTTTAATGTAATTTCCAATATCATACAGTTGTAATGTGTTAAGAAGGTTGACAAAATCATATGAATAATTTTCATAATCTTCACTTGCTATAGAAACCATAGGTATCATTAGATTGGTATTTGTACCTTGGCAAACAATTTGGTGACGAGCTTGATACTTTCTTAAATAGAAACCTTTACACCCACAACACAAAAGAGGGAAATCATTATTTTGTATTTTATACTTTCTTTCTCTAATAAAACATGTTTGACCTGATTCCACCAGTGAAACATGGTGATTTCTAAATGCTTCCTTTCAAAATATTTCTATATAATGATTCTAATCTTCAGAGTACATAGTTAAAAGAGGCAATACTGAAGTTTCAGTACCATGCTTTAAAAGAATATGAGGTTTTAACCGAGTCTGAGGAACTTTGCAAAATAAACAAAGCCGTGCTGGTTTTGTGTACTTGATTGTTTCTGGTTTTGAGGTATCAACCTCAATTATGCCATGTGTTTTAATTAGATCCAAACATATTTTTCGTAGTTTTGCCTTTTAAATCATTACGTGTTGATTTTAAGTCTTCTTTAGGAACATCACTATTGAAAGCTTCTGAAAAGATTTTTAGTTCTTCCCAAGAAGCACATCTTTCAATCATAGAAGTTGAAATTAAACGAGGAAGTATGGAAATAAACTCTGGTTCTTTGTTTGGTGACAATCCCACTAACTCATTTTCTTTTTCAAAAATAAGATCACATATTTTAAAACTTGATTCAGTAATATTACCAACATTGGAATGATATTGATATTCGATTTCTGAGTCAGAATGATCAAACATTGGCTTTTCCCACAAAACTTTCAAAACAACTAATTTCTAAACAACAAACTCGCTTAAAAGTTAACATAAAAACTTAATTAAACGTTTTTAAATCAAAAACTTAATTAAAAAAATTTAGGTACTAATAAATTTTAATAATATATTAAATATTACTAACATTTAGCAACATTTAATTTTTTTAAAATTTTTAAAATGTCTACCTTCTATACAAAAATTATACAAATCTATGTCTATACAAAATTATCTACCGAGTTAAAAAAACAATGCTTAAAAAAAGAAACAAAATTGTAATGAAATATACATTTAAACTAAATAAACTAAAAAAACTTTATTAATTTAAAAAAATTTTATACAACTTTTTTATTCTTTTTTAATATTCCGTTAGATCAATTTAAATAAACTAGATAACAGAATGCATAAAGTTAAAAAACATATTTAGAAAAGCGCATTTTTTAATTAACCATAGTCTTCTATGCCATAACGAGTTTTTAAACACTTCTTGATGGCATGCATGAGCACAGCTTACACAATATTTGTATATCTTTTTAAAATATAGTTAAAAGAACTTTAAAGAGCAATCATTACAAATCTATAATGTAATAACTTTTTTTTTCAATTTCCGCACTTATTTACAGAGAATTACACATATGTAATATTGAGTATTAATCATTAAATGCTGTGCTTTATAAAGAGTTTTAACTTTGTTATAAATTATAAGGTTATATAAAACTGTTTAACTTTAATAATTTGTAAACTATTTAATTTTATTACTTTGTTGCATTTTACTTACAACTTAGTAAAAGGCAAAGAACTTAGATGGATTTGCCTAAATCTAACCAAAGCTCGAGTAACACAATCCAGTTCAACATGTGACAAAAAAGTATTAGTATTTTGTTGTTTCTTTACTCATTTTAATCTGATAAAATAAATTTTAAAAATACATTTTTTTAAAGTTTTTTAAAAAATTTGGAAACACTTGATAAGTAGTTTTTGAGTATTTATTATTTCATAGGTTCATAGTTTTTCACAGATAAAATATATCTTTGTTTTATGCATATGACCAACCAGTAACTTATTGACACCTGTCTAGTACAGTCACTGAATACAGTACACCTGCTTATAATTTAATATACATTTAGTATAGTATATCTGCTTAATAAACATATTGATGTTTTTTTTTCAGCATGGTGTTTTATACCGTAACAAAATATTTATTGTAAGAGACATACAATGAGTTATGGAACTACTTATCATTGATGTTTTACAAGCTTATTCTATAACCTCAATTTTACAAATAAAAAATAAAAAACAGTTTTAATTTTGTCAAAAAAAGCTTAACAAAAGGGAAAAGAAATAACCACTAAGATATTAGACAACTATACTTTGATTTACTGAGGTCTCCTATACAAAAAAAAAAATGTCCCAGAAAAAACTTTTATTATGAAACCTGTTTATGTTCGAGTAAGTTTATGTAGTTAAGAGTTTTTAAATAATATCATAACACAACTGTTTTATCTTATGTAAAATAACAATAAAATATAACTCAAATTATACTTCCCTATTTATTGCTCCAATTTCAACATAATTAGCTTGGTTATAACACTGGCACATCTCATGTGTTTTGGTAAATAATTGTACTTTATTTTTTTGTGTCTCCACTTCATATGTATCTCCTTTTTTTAAATCTAAAACAGTTTCTGAATTTAAAGTGTAGTCTTTAAGTTTTAAAGATAAAAATATATTAATATTGCGTATTACCAAGTAAATAAATATTTCTAAGTAATAAATATTGTAAATATGTTGTTGGTTTTATTTATTTTATAGAGATTGTCAAATTTACACGGAGCATTAAAACATAAGATGTGCCAGGCTGTAAGCATGATGCTTTAACAATTAATAATTATAAACTAGTATAATAATAATAAGTATTTTAATTATTAACAAGTATGTCCAAATAATTTACTTTAAATGTCTAAATATATGCTCAATTAAAAAAATTAAAAAATAACTGTAGAGTATTGTGCACATTATGGTACTATTTTTAATTATTAACAAGTATGTCCAAATAATATACTTTAAATGTCTAAATATACGCTCAATTAAATAAATTAAAAAATAACTGTAGATTATTGTCAAAAAAATTAAAAATATACAACTTGTACATTAAGGTACATCAAAAATATGTCAGAAGCTTTGAAAAATTATATCTGAAGCTCTGAGTATTTGATAAGTCTAGACAATATCAAGACTATCTATAGCAAAACAAACATCTGCTAATGTTTTTTCATTTCATTATACTAGTCTTTTTATTATACTAGTCTTGCACTCCTGAATCCTTATTATTTCTATCTTTATCTACAAATTTTAATAAATTTAAACAAAAAAACTGCCATATTATTGATTTTTAAATAGGACAGTTCTTTCTCAAATGTCCCCCCCCCCTCCCTCCTCACACCACTTCTGTAAAACGTTTTAGATAAAAGTAACAAGAGCAAAAATTATTAGCTTGAACTTCTGTTTGTTGAACAAAAAATGATGGTAATAAATTTAAACTTAAAGTTTTCTAAATCTTTCTAAATTTTGTTTATTAATTATCTTAACTCTATCAAGTTTTCCAAATTTTATTTTTATTTTAAAAAAATAATTTAATCTTTAAAAAGTTTTAACTTTAAAAGTTAAAACTTTTTAAAGATTACACTATTTTTTTTAAATAAAAATAAAATTTAGAAAACTTGATAGAGTTATGATAATTAATAAACAAAAAATAATAAACTATAAAAAAAGTTTTTAACTTAAATAAAACTCACCATTCTCTGCCAGGGTTTTCTTAATTTCATTACCATAATCATATCTAAAAATATCAAAATTATTTCTTCTAAAAACTAAACTTCATATGTTAAAAGTTTTGTACAAACTACATGTTACAACAGGTATTTTTAGTCAAGAACAAATAAAAAGTAGTCCAAAAAAAAAAGAAAATAAAAAGAAAAGATAGATAAGGTTTTAAAGAAAGTATATATCGGAGATGTAGTATTATGGGAAACAATCAATCAAGTGCAAACAATAAAATTATGACATTAAAAAGATGATGATGATTATGATGATAATGATGACGATGATGATGATAATGATGATGATGATGATGATGATGATGATTTTTATTTTTTTTTATTTTTTTTTTAAATTTAACATAAATCTATAATAAAAAAAAATTTTATTAATAAAATTTCAACAACAACAAAAAACACTGGGAACTCTAGTCCTTGCGTAAACTGCGAAAACTATCATAATTTAACATTATAAACAATAGTTTGAAAAACATTAACAAAAGTTTTATCGTATAAAACGATATGTTGAAACAAGGAAAACTTAGCTGTTCAGAATTATCTGATATAGTACGAGAACAGCAAGAAACCATAAAAAATTTAATGAAAATAATAGAATTCCTTGAATCTAAACAACCAACAGTAAACGAATTTGCTAATTTTTGGTCGAAATTTTCAACGAAAACTACATCCACGGAAAAATCACTTGTTGTAAACACCATCGCAAATTCAATAATATCAGAACAGGAAAATAAATAAAAGCGAGAAAACAATATTATAATCTTTGGAATTCCCGAATCGAGTAAAACAGATGAATCAGATACAATAAATGATGATAAATTAATGGTCAATGAAATATTTGATTACATTGGCAAAAGCAATGAAAAACCGATTAAATTAATTAGGTTAAAAAAAAAAAAAGTTTCAAAAAATCCATCTCCAATTATTGCTGTACTTCCTGAAAACTGTGAACGCAATAAAGTTCTATTCGCGTCTAGGGAATTAAGAAATAACGACAACTATAAAAATGTTTATTTAAACCCGGATATGACACCAGCAGAAAGGCTAATAGATTTTGAATTAAGAAAAGAAAAAAAGAATAAAAACCACCAGCTTTTAGAAAATGAACCAAACTCGCCCTTTCGATGGTGCATCAGGCGCAACAAAATTGTTAAACTCAACTTTAGCAAACACATTAAATAATATTAAACAAATAAAAAAATCCTTCAAATCGGATAAAAGTAACAAGCTCACACAAATAACTAAAATTAATTTCAACATTGATTCGATTTTAAACAAACGCCAAGAACTAAATTTCATTGTTCAAAAACTTAAACCACATCTCATTTGTCTTACTGAAACCTTGCCTAAAAATTGCCGATCAATGTGCGGTGATCAAGAAATTACTATAGAAAACTACATAACACTATCAAATCACAATAATAAATCATGTCAAAGAGGTGTAGCAATATTTGTACATATATCGTTAAAATCGTCATTGGTTACCTTTGATACCATTGCATCAGAATCAATTAGTTGTGAAATTCAAACAAAAAATTCTAAGCTACTAATAACAACATTCTACAGATCTCCAAATAGCAATGACGAAAATGATAACTATATAAATCAACACATAACTAATCTTTCTGAAAAATACGAAAACATCCTTATTGTTGGAGACTTTAACTACCCAGATATAACTTGGTCTAACAAAAAAGGAAACCCGATATCTCACTCATCAAAATCTTTAAAATTCATAAATTCAATCCGCAATTGTTTCCTCACACAACATATATCTAAACCAACCCACTTCAGAAAGAATCAAAAACCAACTACTATCGATCTTATAATAACATCCGTGGAAAACATAATTTCACCAATAACCCACCTTGCTCCAATTGGAAAAAGTCATCATCACCTTTTATACTTTACCGTATTAACCGATCCAATAGATAAACCAACTCATACTATTAATAAGCAATTATTCTCTAAAGGAAACTATAATAAAATTAATAAATATCTATCAACCTTAGTGTTAAATCAAAACTATAATTCAGAACAACTTTGGGATACATTCTACACAAACCTTAAAAACACTATTAAAAAAAATGTTCCAAAATCCTCAACAAAACCTAAAGCGTTCACAATGGATAACCGCCCAAGTAGCAGAAGAAATAAGAAATAAACAAATTAAATATCAAGACTACATTCATAAACGGAATGGTAAAACTTACTTTGACTATTGTCGAGCGCGTAACAGAACAAAAGCAGCTTGCAGAAATGCTATAATAAATTTTGAAAAAGAAATTGCTAAAAACATCAACAATAATCCTAAAGCTTTTTTTTCATACATAAAATCAAAAAATCTTATAAAAAATCTCATTCCTGAATAGTCCACAATAAGATAGTTGCTACCACCGATCTTGAAAAGGCTCAATGCTTCAATAATTACTTTGCTAGTAATTTTTCTGATAATGATACATTGATTGTTCCAAGTTTTAACTTATCTTCTATTTGTCCCAGTCAAATCTCTAATAATCTTGATCTATCTCCTGAAAACATTGCATCTCATCTTCTGTCTATAAAGTCATTTAAATCACCGGGTCCAGATGAGATACATCCCAAAGTATTAAAAGAAACCCATCACCAAATCTCTAAACATCTTTCTATTATTTATACTAAGGTACTTCAAACTAGTACATTACCACAAATCTGGAAAGATGCAAATATCATTCCAATTTTCAAAAAAGGAGACAAGAAACTAGTTACCAACTATAGACCCATTAGTTTAACATGCACTATAGTCAAAATATTTGAAAAAATAATACAAAAACATATTTTTATTCATCTTTTAAAAAATAATCTACTAACTCCTAGTCAACACGGTTTTTATCTATGGCGCTCTTGTGAAACAAATCTTCTTACTGTAATCAATACATGGACACTTAATTTAGATAAAGGTCTTCCCGTCGATAATATTTACCTTGACTTTGAAAAAGCATTTGACAAAGTCCCACACGATTATCTTCTTTTGAAACTAAAAGCCTATGGGATTAATGGTCCAATTCTTCTTGGATAAGAAACTTTCTCACAAATCGAAGACAAAGAGTAATGATAAATGGTAATTACTCTGATTGGGTATCAGTAAAAAGTGGAGTTCCCCAAGGTTCTGTTCTCTCAGCTCTATTATTCATTATATACGTTAACGATATTCCCAATATAATTACTTCAAATGCAGCACTTTTTGCTGACGATACAAAAATATTTTACCCTATTACTAATTTGCATTCACACACCGTACTTCAAAATGATATTGATATCTTGGTTGACTGGGCAACTAAATGGGGGATGAAATTTAATATAGAAAAATGTTCAGTTTTACACCTAGGTCATAAAAATAAACATCTTGTCTATTCTATGTACGATCCAGTGAAGAAAACAAGGATTGATATCAAATCTACCAACTCAGAAACTGACCTCGGAGTACATATCGATAATAACTTGCTATTTTCTAAACATACCTCTACTCAAGTTAAAAGGGCAATGCAGATGCTATTTCTAATAAAAAGATCTTTCTCTTATCTAAATTCATTTTGTTTTAAAAGACTGTTTTCAGCACTAGTACGACCATATTTAGAATATTGTGGTTCTGTATATAACCCTCGTCTACTGAAAGACAAACGACAAGTTGAAAATATACTCAGAAGAGCATCTAAATCAGTTCATGGATTAAAAAGTCTAACATATCACCAAAGACTATTGAAACTTAATATGACAACCATAAGATACAGACTAATCCGGGCTGATTTAATAAACGTCTATAAATGGCTAAACAACTACTACAACTGTCAAACGATCTTTCCAAAAACAATTATAAATTCTATTACAAGAGGACATTCATTTAAACTAGAAAAACCTTATTCTCGTCTAGCTTCTCGTCAATACTTTTTCACCTTACGAGTATTCAACAAATGGAACTCCCTCCCAGATGACGTTGTAAATGCTACTTCCGTAAGCAATTTTAAAAACAAACTCGACAATTATCTAAAAAAAGAAAAAACAATTTATGACTAGTATATTTATATAGTAAGCATAAGACAGGTTGACAGGCATTTCATGCCTATACAAATCCAATTTGTAAACCTTAATAATAATAATAATAATAATAATAATGATGATGATGATGATGATGATGATGATGATGATGATGATGATGATGATGATGATGATGATGATGATGATGATGATGATAGTAACAATGATGGTGATAAATAAAAAACATTCACAAAAATCATTAGTTTTATGCATAAAATACTTTTCATTTTCTTAAAATTTATTTATACACTTGCCCAAGACAAATGAGTTATTGCAGCCCAACAGGTTGCTAAATATATTACGTTGATGCAGTATAAAACAATAATCTTTAACTAAAACCACAAAAAACTGGTTTGAAACTAAGAGAGATATGTGAAATTAACAACAGATAAAAATGATTTCCCATCTGCATACTAGATTTATAAAAAAAACAACTGAATTGAACTGTAAAAAAAAAAAGCCATAAAAAATGTAAACTGTCTAGTTAGTATTTTCTATAGTCAAAATATTTTTTATAATTACTAAACTAAAGAGATTATCCAATTCATATTTTAAAAGACCAAAATTTTTTTTTTTTAAATGAAAAAAAAAAACTACTTTAGAATTTTGAAGTAATTTTGTTTTTTAACTAGTTTTGTTGTTAAAGATTTTCATAAAGGTTTCATAAAATCATCAATTTTTCATATAAAAGTGCATCAACGCATACATAAATCAACTGTTCTTTCAAAAATTATTTAACTAAAGTGTATAAATTAATTTAATTTATATGAAAAAATTATTATATTAAATTACACTAGATTTTTAGGCGAAATAACTAAATTATAATGTCTACAAACAACATAATTAAATATAGCGTAGATTGAGTAATTACTGTTTTCATTATTAACAAATAACAAAAAAAATCTTAACTTGTATTTTCATAAAATTATTTGGATATCCGAAAAAATAAAACTTTTAAGAAATATTCCAGAAATGCAGAAATATCCTGAAAATTGTAACACCCTTTATATTTATATTAATAAAATTGTTACCCTTAATATATTATTAAGAATATTTAAATAATTTAACTTGAAATTATTTGACAGCTGAGTTATGGTTCATTAAGATTTTGTAAGGTTTAATGGTTAACTTAGAAATAATGTGTTTCAACTATTATTTTTATTCAGACCTTATATTTAGAAATTAATTTTTACTCTAAACTTAATTTTTAATCTAAATTAATTTTAATTATTCTAAACAAAAATTAAAATAAATTAAATTAAAAAACAATTACACAAAAATTAGAAAATTTTTAAAATGAAAATCTAATATGTTAATATACTATTAATATAATAGTTTATATAATAGATTTTTTTTCTTTTCAGTGAATGTAAGGTGACCAACCATCACAGTAATTTTTTGAAATGATTTAACTTTTGAAATTATTATTCTTTTTTTTTATTTTTTATTCTGATTCACCCCCAAATAGGCTGCAAGCAATATATAAATTAGGTAAATATATTAAATGCATTTTAAATAACATAGACAATAAATGAAAAAAGGCTTTTAAACTACTTTTAAGTAAAAAATAACTTTAGAGTAGCAATCAATTTGTATCTAGAGTCCTTTTATATAACGGAGGCAGGAAATTTCAGGACTGCTATGAATTATTTTCTCATTGCAGATCATAAGTATCTAGAGCTCCTGGACAGTGGATATTAGGAAAAAAATGTAGTTTAAAACTGATGTTCATTTTGGGACAGTGCATCCCTTTTATTTATTCATAAACTTCCTTAAGAATTACTTTAAAGTAATTTTACAGTATAATTTTATGGAAAGAGTATAAGAATTTACTAACTAAAAACTAATTTTTACCTCAAAAAAATATCACAAAAACTCTATATTGTATGCTGAAACGTGAATGGAATAATATTTTAGAATGTAAAATATACCTTTGTTCAGTACCAACATCTATTGTTTTTGTAGCGAGAACACAAAGACTAACATGATTAGACTCAACTATTCTCTTCATTTTTGCATTGGCATATATTGAAGGTGAGTCGATCACAATGCATCCCATGAAACTTAATTGGTTTGAGGCATTAATGCTTAAAAAAAAAATCAGAAATTAAATGAGTATCAGAAGAAAAAAAAAACAATAAAATAGTTAACTTAAATTTCAAGATCATGATGTCTATTTTTGTATTTATATTTTCTTAAACATGTAAAAATTTTATATTTATATATGTAATCAGTTCTAAAAAAGCCATTATAAACATTATATACATTATACACATGTTATTTATACACATTATACACATGTTATTTATACATGTTAATAAACATTGCAGAAAAACTAAAGAAAATTGCATCACAATTGCATTGCTAACTACACAAAGAACTAACAAACTACCACCACCATCAAATTAATATTATTATCAAAGCTAAGTAATAATCTTTATATTCACATAAAAACTAAATGTTAAAAAAAAAAAAGATCTAATAAAATCTAAAAAAAACACCTTAAAAAAATTACCTCTGAATTCTAAAAGAAAGTCCCCTTTCAGAAACTTATTTGTTGCAAACACGCCATAACCTGAATTGGTTAAACAATAAGTGAGTCTGGTATATTATTTACTAAACTTTAAGCTTTAAAAAATTATAATGTTTTGATTATGAATGCATTAAAAATATACGTACAACATCCAAATTTCAGCAAAAAAAAATTAAAAAATATATTACTTAAAGGGACTACCAAGTCCCGAGACATGTTGTGTTCATATTAAAGAGAATGTTAAAAAAAAACGTCTGAGCAAATATTCTTTGATTAAAACTAATTAATAAATGTATACCAAGAAAAACAAATCTTGTTGTTTTAGTCGAAGCTCGTCTTCTCCGTTTTCTCCATTTACAAGTGGTACAAACTCTTTCAAGATGGCCGGGAAGATGCCAATGACGAGCTTCGCTCTGGACGCCTAACCACGTCAACAACTGATAAAAACATTCAAGCAGTGAAGAAAATTGTTTCGGAAAATCATCGAACCACAATCAGAGAAGTTGCTGATAGTGTTGGTATATCGCTTGGCTCGTGCAAAAAAAATTTTCTAACATTTTGGGCATGAGACGTGTGTCAGCAAAGTTTGTTCCGAAATTGCTAAATTTTGACCGAATGAACCGTCGCATGACCATCACTCAAGAACTGTTGAATGACGTCAACGACGACCCAGATTTACTCAAAAGGGTCATAACTGAAAAAATTAGGTCACCTTAATTTTTGAACATACTATAAACCAAACCATGTCATCATTTAGATTTATTAAAAATATTTTAAATATAACTCGACAAAGAAAAAAAAAATCATAAAGAGACTTTTAAAAGAATATATGAACCATAACAACAAACCAAAACTCAAGGCATTTTTAAACAAACCAAAACTCAAGGTTTTTTATGATACTTAAAAATAATATAACAAATTAAACTTAAGAAGCTTATCTGACTTTTAAAACAATAATAGAATTGTATTTCATGTGACTTGATGAAAAAAATTAAACACTTAGACAACCCTAATAACAACAAACAACAACAAACAACAATAGACACCGAAAGGCGCAACCTTTATATTTTTTTAAATAAGGTGACTTATTTTAAAATAATATAAAACAAAGAATAAAGAATCAAACTCTGAGGCATTACTTAGATTTTTTTTTACATGTTTTATTTTATAATTAAAATAAACCAATAAACCAAACCTTTAGGCGTCATTCAAACTTTTTTCGAAAACATTTATAATATAACTCAGCCAAAAAAAAAGAACCTTTAAAGGAATTCTAAAACAGAATATAAAAAAAAAAACACATACCAAACCTTAAGGGATCGCCCATAAAATAGGTAAAAATAAATTTATTTTTACTTATTTTATTAAACTGTGATTTTCATGAAACTTAATTAGCTATTTTTATTTTTTATATTATGAATTTTTTTTGTTGCGTAACTTATAGACAATACCTTAAGACAACCTCTGCATTTTTTTATAGTTCTTTTTGTAATAACACTCAGTCAAACAAAAAAACCTAAAATGAATTTATTTATTAGACAAAATGAAACATAAAAACAAATTATAGGGTGTCATCTATTTATTTTTTTAAATATATTTTATTTAATGACTAAAGTAATCTTAAAACAAAATTAAAAACAATATGAAACAAGGAATAATAACCTTAAGGCGCCTTATATACTTTTTTACAATATTTTTATAATAAAACTCAGTAAAAAAAAAAGAGCCTAAAAGTGACTTTAAAAACAATTTATAAAAATGAAGAAAAATCTAAACCTAGGTATCATCAAGATTCTTTTTTTAATACATTAATATATGACTAAAGACTTCAAAGGTAAAATTTAAAACAATATATAACAAGGAACAATAAAGCAAACATATTTCTAAATATATTTTAAAATATAATTCAGCCAAACAAAAAAACCTTAGGGTGACTATTAGAATAAAAATTAAAAAGCAACAATAAAACAAACCTTAATATTTACCTTATACTTTATACCTATAACCTTAATATCAACCTCCAATAGATATTTTTATAGTAAAACTCAGTAAACCAAAAACAACCTCAAGGTGACTTTTAAAACAATATATAAAAAGGAACATTAAAACAACACTTAAGGTGACAACTAGATTTTTATACTGATACTTTTATAGTAAAATTCAGTAAAAACAAAAGAACTTTAAGGTGGCTTTTAAAACAATATACAAAAAGAAAGAATAAAACAAATCTTAAGTTGCCATCTCTTTTAAAATAAAACATAAAAGACTTGTAAAAGATATTTTAATGATATAATAAATATGAATCAACATCTATATCTATTTACAGATATTTTTAAAACATAATTAAGCTAAACAAAAAAACCTTAATGTGGATGTTAACAAAAACTTTTGTAATGTATCAAAAAATTTTTATATGTATTTTTAATGAGAAATTTCTGTATTTTAAAAAAATTTATACTTTTATATATTTTTTTAAATATTTTTTTTCAATAAATTTATCCAAGTCAAATTATTTATCTAAGCAACACTCTTAGCAACCATAATTTCAAAATTATGGTCCAAAATTTCAAGTCTAAAAAAGTTTTGCATCAAATTAAAAACCTATTATTTAACAAAACCTTATATGAAAAAAAAATTGGTGTAGTTTAACATAAAATAAGTGATTTTTAACTTTAATAAATGATATCTTGAGTTATTTTTTTCAGAACATGTTGAAAAATGTCGGAATATTTTAAGGGTCAAAGCGTTTAAAATTTTTTTGACTCCCAGGTCCCTTAACCATTAAAAGCAGTTTTTTGTAGAAAAAGTTTAGTTCAAAAAAAGTTTGAATTTTAGGATCTTTTATTGAAATAGTCTTTTTCACAAGATCATTTACTCACCATTCTTTATCATTACTGATACTTTGATTTAAAAGAATAATTGAGCAGCATTAATTTTTGCAGATTTTTTTTAAATTTTTGTTAACATCCACCTTAAGGTGACTTTTAAACAAAATTTTAAAGAGAACAACAAAATAAACCTTGGTTAAATCTAAATTACTTTTACAGATATTTTAAAAATATATTTTGACAAACAAAAAAACCTAAGTTGATTTTTTAAACAAGTCATAAAAAGAAGCAATAAAACAAACCTTAAGACAATATTTAGATACTAATACAGATATTTTTATAGTAAAACCCATTAAAAAAAAAGGCGGCTTTTTGAACAACATATAAAGAAGAAGAATAAATCAAACCTTAAAACATCACCTAGATTTATTTTTAAACACTTTATTTCATATCTAAAGAAACTTAAGGAAAAATTTAATATAACATTTAACAAGGAACAATGTCACAAACCCTTAAGGCGACATATAAACTCTATAAAGATGTTTTAAAATATAATTCAGCCAAACAAAAAACCTTAAGATCCCTTTAAAAAAAAAGTAAAAAGAAACAATAAAACAAACCTTAGGACAACCTCTAAATTATTTAATAGTAAACTCAGTAAAAGAAATAAAACCCTAAGGGACTTTTGAAACAATATATAAAAAAGAACATTAAGGCAACACTCAAGGTGAAAACTTTATACAGATACTTTTATAGTAAAATTCAGTAAAAGCAAGAGAACCTAGAGATGACTTTTAAAACAATATGATAAAAGGAAGAGTAAAGCAAATCTTAAGGCGCCATCTAGTTTTTTTTTGGAATACATTTTTTCGATACTAAAGAACTTAAGATAAATTTAAAACAGTATATAACAAGGAACAATAAAGAAAAACATTAGGCAATATAGACTTTTGAAAGATATTTAAAAAATACAATTCAAACAAACAAAAAAAATCTAACATGATTTTTAAAATGAAAAATAAAAAGCAACAACGAAACAAACCTTAAGGCAACTTATAGATTTGTTTAATTATATATTTTTATTGTATAACACAGTAAAGCAAAAAAACTGAGAGGAAATTTTTAAAACAATATATAAAAAAGAAGGATAAACCAAACCTTAAAAAATCATCTAGATTATTTTTAAAATACTTTATTTTATAACTTTAAAACTTTATGTAAAACTCAAAACAATATATCTAAAAGAAACAATAAAGGAAACCTTAAGGTTTCCTTTATTGTTCTTTGATGTTCCTTGTTGTTGTTTCCCTTATTGCTCCTTTCCCAAACTTTATAGCGACATCTATTTTTTTTTTTACATATTATAAATATTTTATTAGTAAATCTCAATAAAAAAAAAGAAACTATAAAAAAAGAAAGAATAAACTAAACCTTAAAGTGTCATCCAGATTTTTTTTTAAATACTTTATTTTATAAGTAAAAAAAATTTAGGTAAATAATTAAAACAATATATAACAAGGAACAAAAAAGTAAAACAGGGACATAAAATATTTGAAGATATTTTTAAATATAAGTCAGCCAAGCAAAAAAACCTTAGGGTGACTTATAAAACTAGCAAAAAAAATTTTCACAATATATAACAAGAAACAATTAAGCAAACTTTAAGGTGACATATAGACTTTTTGAAGATATTTTAAAATATAATTTAGCCAAACATAACAATTTTAAGGTGACTTTTAAAACTAACCAAAAAAAATATATATATTTAAAATAAATAACAAGGAGCATCCAACAGACCTTGAGGCAACATATAGACTTATTGAGAACATTTTTGAAATATTATTTAGCCATACGAAAAAACCTTCAGGTGACTTTTAAAACTAAGTAAAAAAATAATTATTTAAAATAAATAACAAGGAGCATCTAACCTTAAGGTGACATTTAAAACAAATAGCAAAACACAATAATAAAACATTTTTATAGTAAAACTCAGTGAAACAAAAGAAACTTAAGGTGACATTTAAAACAATTAGCAAAACACAATAATAAAACATTTTTATAGTAAAACTCAGTGAAACAAAAGAAACTTAAGGTGACATTTAAAAGAAACAAAAGAAACTTAAGGTGACATTTAAAAGAAACAAAAGAAACTTAAGGTGACATTTAAAAGAAACAAAAGAAACTTAAGGTGACATTTAAAAGAAACAAAAGAAACTTAAAGTGACATTTAAAAGAAACAAAAGAAACTTAAGGTGACATTTAAAAGAAACAAAAGAAACTTAAAGTGACATTTGAAAGAAACAAAAGAAACTTAAGGTGACATATAAAGAAAGATTAAATCTTAAGTTGTCATCTAGATTTTTATACAGATTTTTTATTTTATATCTAAGTGAAATTTAAAACAATATTTAACAAGGAACAAGCAACTAAACCTTTTATAATATATTTCATCCAAATAAAAGAGCTTTAAGACAGCTGAAATTAAAGACTGAAGTTGAAAAAAATAAGAAATAACAAAAAATGCATAAGTAAATCATATTGATTTTCTTTTGACATTCCTATTTGAGTTAATTTAAAAAAATCCACAAGGAACTTTTAAAACAAGTTTATAATTTAACTAAAAGATTCTCAAGGTTTAACGATTTACTGCTTATATTATAGTATATACCTATAACACATTATCTGTGGTGCACATTATAGTAAATGATTTATTTATTTATGATATATTTATTAATATAAATACAGCATCATTTAAAAAAGTTTGCTTAAGTATTAAATAAATCAAACAAATGATATTTAAATACCTTTTTTTTCTTATTTAATTATCTGTCACACAATCTAACTAAAATTTGTGAAATAAACTAAATAGCTAAAATAATAAAAAAATTATATTCAAATTATAAAATTTTTATAAATTATAAAGAAATTATAGAACTTTGTTTTAAAACTCAATAAACAATAATATTGACTTTGTTTAATTAAAATATAAAAACAAACTTTTAATTTTTTTTTTAATTTAAACACTTTAATATTACATAACTATAAAGTTGATAGCATATTTAAACTATACTAAGTTGAGTAAAAA